TTATAGTTTTTTTTAATAGGGTAGCTGGAAGAGGAGGAAGCTTAGCCTACCAAAGACATGCAGATAATCAGCTACACAAGGAAGCAGGATCCGACTTTTTTGCCTATTCTTAGGCACTAGATCATGCTAACTTTCCTACAGTAAATGCTGTACACACATGATAACCAAAAAGAGATAGGATAAGGGCAGTCAGTGGTGTCTATTCCTAGCTTTAAGGTTGGACCACTGTCCTGGTCAAATCAATTAACACAGGATAAACTAGTCCACCCAAGCTACAGAATGAGACTATAATATTGACCTCGATTTGTGCCCTATGAGGAGCAGACAAATACTCCCTAAGGTAAGTATCACTAAGAGAGCATTCTTGCCTTGACACATTATTAAAAATAAGACAAAAGCTTTATATTCCATTTGGGAAAAAGTGAAGAAGGGGAAAAAACTTTCTTTACCTTTGGATGGCCCTTCTCAAGTCATAGTATCTCAACCGATCCCAGCAAACGTGCTCTGCTGCTCTGGGACATGATCTCACACAGCGGAGTGCGCCCAAGCTCAGCCAGCCTGACATAAGCAATGGGAAATGACCCAGAGCAGAAACAGAACAGAGAGGGAGCACCACACATCTGCTCACTCCTCATGGTCCAAAACCCACACTGTGTGACCTCTGACACAATACAGGCTACGATCTCTGAGAAACTCAAAAAATCTTACTGCCCAGCAGAGACAGTTTTGCAGCAACAAAGGCAGATGTGCTCTCTGATGACAGCAAAAAGCTCTTAGCCTTCAGGCAGTCAGGTGTATCCATATGGAGTAAAGCAGCTTGTTCTCACCTCGGGGTCTAATTTGCTTGCCAAAGTATTGCACAAGTGGCACTCTGTATTCGCAAAACAATTCCTCAGGTGGCCTATTTGACACCAAATAGCAGATGGTTTACTCTCCGTGCAGCAAGTAAGGTCATTTTGGGGTTCCAAGTGGGTCGTGGGTCATGACTTGGTCATACAGCAAGCAGTTGAATTCATTGTGGAGATATTTCAAATGTTTTGCTTAAGATACCTGAGTGCTTTCTCTCTAATTCTGACTCATCTCCTCCTTCTGCTTCAGTGCCTTCACCTGGAGGTAAGTATCAGAACCAGATATAACCAACCCACAGACTTCCCAGAGTTTCAGTTTATTGGTACCCCAAATCATTCACATGCTGGAGGCCAAACCAGAAAGGTCTTCTATCTGCCAAGCTCTAGGGATGACTACATCCACCTCATTCCTCCAGGACTCTACCGTTCACCCACCTCAGTTCTTTAGTCACCAAGGTGTTTAGCATGGATAAGGTACATAGCTTATATGAGTTTAAACTGGCTCTCTTTGTTGGGGTGCCTTGCATACCCACCTGCACATCTGTATGTTTTCATACCTTGTACAGTTTGCTGCAGGATATGTTCAGAAGCTCTCTGAAGTTCTTAAAAGCCCTTTATGGCATATGACACCCTCCATTAGGCACAGTTTCAGAACTTGAATTCTATGCTTGCCTTCATGTGTAAAGACCTTCCAGACCCTACAGTGTTATGATTTTCATAGCACTTTGCATCGCAGTGTGACACACAGAAAGGTCACAGACAACAGAAGGCCAAGCAAGACAGAGTACACTGTCAGGTCTCTAGATACACTGAACAACTGCAGTTCCTTCCACCGAATCAATGTGACTCACAGATCTTCTCAAGATCAGGATTTTTCCAAGCCTGCAGCTTCTAACAGCCAGCCCTCTGCTATATTTCAGATTGATGTTCAATACCAACAGATTTGTACATGATCCCAGAAACTGAAGCACAAGCAAATGCAGAATAGGTCAGCATTATTGTCCTTGTCTGTGACAGATTTTTTTCAGTAGAAAACAAACTGGGATTGCAGCACACATAACAAGTATATTCCAGAGAGAAAACATAAATGCACAAAAGAGCAATGCGGAGTTTGCAGCTGATTTAGCACAGCTCAGGAAAGAATAAAAGAACTGGCCTGCACAGCTTTGCCAAGTCACATTAGGTCAATCAGTGCTCTCATCTATCATGCCACGAGTCTGGCATCTCACACACAGCCTCAACCATCTCTCCTCTTAAGCTACAAAAGAGTAAACTATCTCCTGTATAAAGTGCTGCTGGCAATATTTATCCCACTGGCTATGCTAAACAATACACACAGAGATGAACCCAGTAAGACACATACAAATACATTTTGGAACAAACAAAAGGTACAGTTGGATGTTCATTTCTGATATACCAGACAGTATTAATTTAATTTCCAGGTTTCATAAACTTTTCAAAACTAATTGGTTGAGCTGATAGTCCTCAGGTTCTGCTCACCCTCACCCCCACCCCCCCCACACCCCCGTAATTCCTCTTGGTT